AAAAAAAAAAACCTTTTGGGCTTAAGTGATTCTCTTGCCTCAGCCTCCCAAGTAGCTGGGACTATAAGTGCTCACCACAACGCTCGGCTGTTTTTTTGTTGCAGCTGTCGTTTAGCTGGCCCTGGTTGGGTTCAAACCTGCCTGCCTTGGTGCATGTGGCCGGCACCATAACCACTGTGCTACAGACGCCGAGCCGAAAGAAATTCTTATCAGCCTCTTGGTCAAAACTGGATTCCTGGAATTATATGAAAGGAAAATGCAACCACTTTCCCTGGAGGCTGCTCCTTGATTACCACCCGAGGGTATTGTCTCAGCCAGGATGCCAGCATGACATCCCAAAGGGTTATGGCATTCTGCTTGTGTAACAGCATTACAGTTAATCCATTGCTCCCTTGGCAATACCTCAGCTGCCAGTTCAATCTCAGTCCCATTCCATCTTTGGCCCTGAGATTCCTGGACTCAGTCAGCTTCAGGTTCTTTTTTTTTTTTTAGAGACAGAGGAGGCCCAGCCTCAAGCAATCCCCCTGGGTAGAGTGCTGTGGCATCAGCTCACAGCAACCTCCAACTCCTGGGCTTAGGTGATTCTCTTGCCTCAGCCTCCTGAGTAGCTGGGACTACAGGTGCCCGCCACAACGCCAGGCTATTTTTTGGGTGCAGTTTGGCCGGGGCTGGGTTTGAACCTGCCACTCTTGGCATATGGGGCCAGTGCCCTACTCACTGAGCCACAGGTGCTGCCCCAGCTTCAGGTTCTCTCACTGGCTTGCTCTGGAAAAACTCGAGGGAGTTATTTAAGATGAAAAGTCTAAAAAGACAAGCAACAGATTATGGCAGAACAGCAGTTCTTGGCTGAGCAGGATTTTACTTCCCACCCAGGGGACATTTGTCAGTGTCTTGACATATGGCAATCTGATTGGTTGTCACTGGTTGTTACAACTTGAGGGGAGGTGTTGGTGGCTACTGGCATCTAGTGAGTATAAGTTAGGGATTCTATTAAACAACTTCCTCTTTAGAACAAATTATCTGGCCCCAAATAGGCCAAGGTTGAGAAATCTTATAGTAGAAAGGCCATGATTGGTTTGTGTTTTTTTGAGACAGTCTTACTTTGTCACTCTCGGTAGAGTAATGTGGTGTCATAGCTCACAGCAACCTCAAACTCCTGGGCTCAAGCGGTTCTCTTGCCTTAGCCTTCCAAGTAGCTGGGACTACAGGTGCCTGCCACAACAGCCGGCTATTTTTTTGTTGCAGTTTGGCTGGGGCTGGGTCTGAACCCACCCTCCTTGGTACATGGGGCCAGCGCCCTAGTTTCTGAGCCACAGGTGCCACCCTCTAAGGAAGGTTAATTGATAATGAAAATGAAACAACAGGCTCGGTGCCTGTGGCTCAAGTGGCTAAGGTGCCAGCCACATACACCTAAGGTGGCAGGTTCGAATCCAGCCCGGGCCCGCCAAACAACAATGATGGCTGCAACCAAAAAATAGCCTGGCGTTGTGGCGGGCGCCTGTGGTCCCAGCTACTTGGAAGGCTGAGGCAGGAGACTCGCTTGAGCCCAGGAGTTGGAGGTTGCTGTGAGCTGTGATGCTACAGCACTCTACCCAGGGGGACAGCTTGAGTCTCTGTCTCAAAAAAAAAAAAAAAAAAAAAAAAAAAGAAAATGAAACAACAGAGGCAGACAAGAGACCTACCTCCACCTTCAACATGCTGTACAACTTCCATGGGAGTGTGTTTCCCTATCTGTGCTACTTTAATTTTGTGTGACCAAAATGAAAAACAAAAACAAAAAAGATGGGACCATGTTTAAGCTAGCCTGTGGGAAATTCCCAGTTCTGTGATGTTGGACAAGTTATTTTGCTTCCTTAAACCTTGGCTCCCTCATTTGTAAAACAGGCTCAAAAAGTTGTGCTTATGTTGTTGAGATAAATATAAAATGCTTAGTGCAATTAAGTTCCTTACAAATGTTACAAATCAATATATAATCATCCTTTGGTATCTTTGGGAAGGTGGTTCAGGACCCCCCTCCTCCCCTGCATAGACACCAAAATCTAAGGATGCCCAAATCCCTTATATAAAATGGTGTAGTAATTTCATGTAACTTATATGCATCCTCCCATATACTCACTGTCACACTGGGTAGAGTGCCATAGCATAACTCACAGCAACTCCAAACTCTTGGGCTAAAGCGATTCTCTTGCCTCTGCCTCTCAAGTAGCTGAAACTATAGGTCCCTGCCACAATGCCCAGCCAATTTTTCTATTTTTAGTCAAGATGGGGGTCTTGAATTCCTAAGCTCAAGCAACCTGCCTATCTCAGCTTCCCAGAGTGCTAGGACTATAGGCATGAGCCACCTTGGCTGGCTTATCTCTTGATGACTTATAATGCCTTATACAACACAAGTGTTATATAAATCATTCTTATACTGTATTGCTTAGAGATCTATACATGTTCCGTATAGACACAATCATCCACAGATGCAGAACCCATGGATACAGAAAGCCAACTGTACTAAATTTGAAGGGGAAAAAGCAACAACTATCATTACTCAGACAAATCCACACTTCTCCTGGGAAATGGCAAGACCCCCTCCATGTCCAAATAGCCATAGCAATGCTATTTCCCAGTAGCTCCCAATCACCAACGGACAACCCAATCCTCTCTACCCACCTTTCCATCAAGGTTCCCCACTCCAGGTCAAAAGACAGGCACAGACGTGAGTTTAGAGAAACCTGTGTTTAATGGTAAAGCTTAGTACACCCCAGCACCAGGAATGGCATGGAGTCCCAGCAGCAGGGACGGGTAGGTGACCCTCATGGAACCTCACATGGCGAATAGGATGAGGAAGGCGACCATCAAACAGAAGAGCCCCATGGCCTCAGACAGGGCAAAGCCCAGAATGGCGTAGGAGAAGAGCTGCTGCTTGAGAGACGGGTTCCTGCCAACACAAGGTGAGGGCATGGGTGCCGGTGGAGGAAACAGGAGGGTGAGGTGAATGATTAGTGCTATGACAGTGAGAGGGCCCAGTCTGCACACATCTGGAGGGGTTGGATGGGCAGGCAGGGCAGGCCAACTTGGTAAGTTCAAGTGAGCCAGATTGGATATGTATCTTCACTGGAGAAAATAGGAGGTAAATGAAATTAACCTGAGGGCTCCGGAAGGGATCCCCCTGCTGAGGATTTCCTCAGATAGGATGACACTTACAGTGGGAGATGCTCTAGGCCACCCACACTTACCTGGCATAGCCAATGATCAAGCTGCCAAACACCGTTCCGATGCCAGCCCCTGAGCCAGCCACACCAACTGTGGCTGCCCCAGCACCAATAAACTTGGCTGCTGTGTCAATGTCCCGGGAGACAACACTGGTCTGGAACTCCCTTCGGGCCACCTGGAGTGGGGAGCTGTTGTAGGAAGGCTGGGCGGGGGGAGTAAGGAAGGAGGGAACGCAAGAAGATAGTGAGGCACAAGGACAGGTGGCTGACTCTAACCTCTCACTCCACCCACCTGAGCTCTGAAACTGTTGGCAAAATGCCTGGCAGATACAGAATGCTTTGACTGCAGAGTATGGTGGGAATCAGTCTTAGAGTCTATTTTCAGACAGGGGTAGGAAAGTTCATGGGTTAGGCAAACCTCACATACAATCCTCACCTTAGAGCACTTAGAACTGTAAAAGAACCACAGATTCTTTTTTGTTTGTTTGTTTGTTTTTGGGAGGACAGAGTCTCACTATGTCACCCTCAGTAGAGTGCCGTGGTGTCAAAGCTCACAGCAACCTCCAACTCTTGGGCTTAAGCGATTCTCTGGTCTCAGCCTCCCAAGTAGCTGTGACTATAGGTGCCCACCACAATGCCCAGCTATTTTGCTGTTGTCATTGTTGTTTAGCTGGCTCAGGCTGGGTTTGAACCTACCAGCCCAGTGCATGTGGCCAGTGCCCTAACCACTGAGCTATGGGCGCCAAGCCAGAACCACGGATTCTTTAACTCTCCTCTCAATCTGGCCTAAAGGCAACTCAACTGAAGGGCCCTTACTCCCTCACCTGTTTAGATGAATTCTCTGGCCTATTCAGGAAGGAGGCAGACATAGGCCTGATTAGACCCCTGGTACAGCAGCGGATCTGTCAAATTAAAAAGGGTCATCCCAACAAATCAGGCAAGAAAAGAAAATCTATTTTGCTAAGCTCTGTCAAAAATGACTACAACATCATAAACAGAGAAAAGTCCAATGTTAATTTATTCCTGTCTCAACCAGATAGGCCTGGACCAGCAACAGCTGTCTTTTTTGAGAGCCTGGTGCAGTCGACAGTGACAGCCTTCATCATTCAAAACTACGTACCAAAGTTCAGTTCTTTGGGCATAGCCTTAGTCAGTCTCCCAACACAGAATTAAACTCACAATAATATCAAAATAGGTAAAGAAAGGATATGTACCCAGATTATCAGAGTAATCAGAAAGGGCAAATTTTATTTTGCTAAAATGTATTCAAGGATGACCACCCTAAACGGAGTGGACTAGTAAGCTTGGTGAGGCTCCTAGAACAGCCATCCAAGGAGAGCTTTCCTGAAATATTTTTTAGTGTAGCAGTTCTCACACTTGGCAGCACATTGCAATCCCTTGTTCTAAAAAGTATGGATACATGGGTTCCCTCCTTATTCCCAGTGTCTGATGCACCTGGTTTAAGGTGCAGCCTGGGCATGAGGATTCTAAAAAACGCCTTAGAGATGATTCTAATGTGCTGCCAAGCTTGAGAACCACTGATTTAGTGTGCCGTCTGGCTATGGGCAAGCCAGAATGGTGGGAGTAAAGGTCAAATCTAGACTTTCTGACAACATTCCAAAGCCAAGACAGCTTGGTTTACAGGCCCGAATAAACAAGAGTTACCTTTATCACATCCTACAAACTCCCCAAAGAGCCAGCATCATCAGGAGGCCAAGCTTCTCTCAGTTCATTCATTAAACATCGATGGCGCCCACACCACACCTGGCACTACAAAGCACCCCGGAGCTGCAGCTTACCAGAGTCGGCGAAATGAGCAGTGCCGCGGTGGTCTGCATTTTTTCAGTCTGCAGAGGGGGAAAAAAAGTAATAATAATTCCATTGCGAGCGTGGTTGTTTGCTTATAGTGGCGACCTTCGGTTGTCCCCTTCACCCCGGGCTGTCCTCTCTGGACCACGCTCTTCCGTGCACAGTGCCACAGCTGAAGAGGGCATTAGAGGTCAGAGAGAGCGCGCAGCTGGTCTGCATGGGAAATCACGGAGATCGGAAGTAAAGGAAGGAGGCCCGAGCCCCAGGAGAGAAATGTTGTGAAAGAGGATGGTCTCCTGGGAAGACTGGAGGCTGACACTGGGCAGATGTTGCGCAGTGCCCTGCCCATCTTACACGCCTGTCCTCGAAGCGCCCCAGCCAGGGAAGTAATCGCTCATTATTGTTTGTAATATTAGTTGATAAGGTTATGTATAGGGTCTCATCGCCTCTCCCAGCATTGGAGGCAAATGCCCCTCCACACACCCCAGCCTTGGCCCCAAGTCACCTGCACTCCCTCGGCCCTGCAGCCCCTGCTCGGCCAACACCGCTCTAGCTGCTCAAGGTGACTGACTCACCTCTCCGCTTTAGCCCTTGCTCTCAGCGTTACGCTCCCCCACCCACGTGTCCTGGGACCCCTCCACTCTCATTGGTCGCAATAACCCCCGCGTCTCTATTGGCTGGCGTCATCGACTCACTCCTTGTTTATTGGTTTCCCGCAGCTCCTTCCTTTCTCTCCACAGGAGCTTCGTGGCAATTCCCGCCTCCATGTGGGTGGAGGCGGGGTTTTCCTCTGGGATATGAATTACGATTAGTCGATTCTGGAAACTCTCAACCATAGAGTCGGTGGGACTCAGAGGTTCCATAACCTCCCGCACAAAATGGCGACCAAGGTAGAGTCAGAAGAAAAAGGCGTGGGAGAGTTGACCGGACGCACGACGCAGATAGACACATGGAACGCAAGACCTTGGCGCTGAGACTTCATTCGGGAGCTCGGGCCTCGAGGCGCGTTGCATGTTGGGATTTGTAGTTCTGTTGGAAGCCCCAAGGACAGCAAAGATCCCGCGAGATGTTCCTCCTCCTTAAGCTTTTGCAGTAATTCCTACCCTAGTGATTTGTGAAAACCTGTTTCCGGCATGGAGAATAAAAGCCGTCTGGAAAGCTCCCAAGTGGTGAGCGCGCTTTTGTGGGTCTCCGCCGGTGTTCATCAGTCACAAACTGGCAACAGATGTTATTTAAAAAATGTATTTTATTTTGTTAAGACATCGCTATAAGGATAAAACAGTATCCCTATAGAAAAACGAACCACGGATAGGAACAGGCAATTCAATAAGGAAGAACTATGAATGGCAGGAAAGAATGTGCAGAGTTGCTGATCAAATAAACAGAAGTTGAAACGCACCGTTTGTACTGCTCAAGGAAACGGTTCTTTTTCTTTTCTTTTTTTTTTTTTTTTGATCGCCCTCAGTAGAGTGCTGTAGTGTCAGAGCTCACAGCAACCTCCAACTTCTGGGCTTAGGTGCTTCTCTTGCCTCAGCCCCCCTAGTGGCTGGGGACTACAGGCGCCCACCACAACGCCCGGTCGGATTCGAACTCGCCACCCTCATTATATGGGGCTGGCACCCTATCCACTGAGCCGCAGGCGCTACCCTGTGGTAATGTGGGCCGCACATTCTTATACATTGCTGGTGAGAGGCGTAATTAGAAAACATTCTTTTTTTTTTTTTTTTTTTTGAGACAGAGCCTCAAGCTGT